AATAAATAAATAAATAAATAAATAAATAAATAAATAAATAAATAAATAAATAAATAAATATAAGAAAAAGGACAGACCAGATACTGTTTAATTTAAGCCCCTTTAGCACAAATGTTTAAGGAGAAATCTGTTTTCTTTCAATACCTAATACACAAGAATGAATGTAGAAAACAGGACATAGCATCTTTATGGTAGCAGCTTTTTTATTTTAACATGGATAGTTATGGACTTTTGTAGTCTTTTTAAAAATTCAAAACATTGGGCTGGAGAGATGGCTCAGTGGTTAAAAGCATTGTCTGCTCTTCCAGAGGTCCTGAGTTCAATTCCCAGCAACCACATGGTGGCTCACAACCATCTATACCCCCTAATGTCCTCTTCTGGCTTGCAGGCGTACATGCAGAAAGAGCGCCACTCATGATATAGATATAAATAGATAGATATAACGAGAGAGAATGGATAAATAAATAAAATATTTTAAGAAGAAATGACAAAACAATTAAAAAGTTTTAATATTATTGTAAGTCATGGATAGTTTATGTACACTTCCAAATGAGTATATAATGAATTAGGTCACACTTGTCCTTTTATCATTTCCTTTTTTAATTGAAAATGTTTTTTTTCTTGTATAATATATTCTGATCCCCTCCCGCAACCCCTCCCAAATCCTGCCTACATCTCCACCCTTTCTTTCTCTCTTTTATAAGAATACAAAAAGGAATATGAAATAATAAAAACAAACAAAACAGAATAGGACAAAATAAACAAGCAGACAAACAGAATAAAAAGAGAGCCAAAAGAAATGTACTAGAAAGACATACTGACGCTGAGACATACATTTGCATACACAGAAAACCCCCCTAAAAAAACAAATTGGAAACCATAATATGTAAGCAAAAGGAGAGGAAGGAAAAATGTAAGTATGAAATAACCTCCAAAGATATAATTGAGTTTGTTTTGTGTTGGCTGTCTGCTGCTGGGCATGGGGCCTGCTCTTACACGTGGTTCATGTTCCCAGTGAGACTGCTGAGGAAAACAAAATTTTCCATTTTGAGTATCTGTTGGAGATAGCTTCAGGACTGGGGATGGGGGCTTGTGTCTACTTCACATCTCTCAGCTCTGAGACTTTATCTGGCGCAGACCTTTCTTATGTCCTTAAACCTCCTCCCTTCTTTATCCCTAGGAATCTGTGCTTTAGTTTCACGCTTTTCTCCTCAGCCTACACCAGTTCCGTACATGGTAACAAAGAGATGTGGTGTTTGTTTCAGTAGGACCCTCTTACTTCACTCAGCATGATGAACTTCAAATCTTGTTTTTCTGAAAATGACATAAATTCATTTTTCTTCATAGCTCCATAGTGTATAGATGCAACACTTTGCCCATTCGTCTTTTGATGGAGATGCAGGTAGATTTTACAGCTTGGTTAGCATGAACTGTTCTGTGATGAACAGAAGTATGTGGGTGTGGCTGTTGCAAGCTGATGTTTATTCTTTAAAATGTATGCACAGAAGTAGTGTGTGACTGGATTACACTGGGTTATATAGGTATTTTTAATTTTTAAAATTAATTTATTTTTTTAATAATTATAATTTATTCGTTTTGTATCCCAGCTGTAGCCTCCTCCCTCACCCCCTCCCAATCCATCCCTCCCTCCATCTTCTCCTCCCACACCCCTCCCATAGTCCACTGATGGGGAGGTCCTCCTCTCCTTCCCTCTGACCCTAGCCTATCAGGTCTCATCAGGACTGGCTGCATTGTCTTCCTCTGTGGTCTGGTAAAGCTGTTCCCCCCTCAGGGGGAGGTGATCAAAGAGCCAGCCCATGAGTTCATGTCAGAGACACTCCTGTTCTTCCTACTAGGAATCCACTTGGACACTGAGCTGCCACGGGCTACATCTGTGCAGGGGTTCCAGGTTATCTCCATGCATGGTCCTTGGTTGGTTGTGGGTAGCATCAATTCACATTCTCACCAACAGTGAGTGAGGGTTCTTTTTCTTCACATCCTTTCCAGCATCTTTGCTTGTTTTCTTTATGGTAAGCAGTGCAGCTGAGGTGAAATAAAATTCAGTGTGATTTTGATTATATCCTTTCCCCCACTACCCAACCAACTTCATGTTTTTTTCTTCTCTCTTAAAACACACACACACACATACACACACAGACATACATATACACACACATTCTAAAAGCTGATTTGTGTTAATTAACTTTTCTGGGCCTTAGGGCCTGTGTTAGAGTATTTTGACATTGTCTCTCTATTGAAGAAAACCGATTTTCTTCTTCCAGAAACTACCAATTATGAAAAGCTTCTTGTCTGAGAATAGGACTTGGTATCTATGTCTCCTCCTCCGTGCTGGGATTTTTGTATGTCTTGAGCTTGTGCAGGTCTTGTGCATGCTGTCACAGTCTCTGAGTTCATAATTGCCTTGAAGTGTCTGGAAAATGCCAGTGCAAAGTATGGGTTCCATCTCATGGAGGAGGCTCTAAATTCAATTATAAAGTGG